TTGCAGAGTGGAGAAAGGAAAGAGAACATTGGTGAGGATGAAAAAGGAGGAAGAGGGGTTAGAAGCAAATAAGGATTACAAAGAGAATGGGAGGATAAAACACGATAATATGATATATAATTTTATAGTTGTGAAAAAACTGTAAACATTTATTATAGATTGAAAAAAAATTGTATTTTTTTTTTTGTATCCAATGCCAAAATTTTTGGTATACCGAAATTGTTGGTATCCAATACCGAAATTTTCGGTATCCAAAAGCATTCCGTTATTGGTTTCTGTCATGAAAAAAAAAGGTTAAACCCTTATTTTGGTCCCTAAACTATTATACAAACCTCTGATTTGGTTCCTGAACTAAGGAAATCTCTAATTTGGTCCTTAAACTATTGTACGAATCCCTGACTTGGTCCCTAAACTATTATACAAATCCTTGAGTTAGTCCCTAAACAATTATACGGATCCCCAATTTGATCCTTACTATTTACCAATTTAACCCCAACTTAGTCCTTTCATTAAATAATAGTTTAGGGACCAAATTGGAGCGTAATTGTAAACAATAAGGATCAAATTGGGAGGTTCATACAATAGTTTGAGGACCAATTTAGGCCAAATTATAAACAATGGGGACCAAATCGGGAGTTCATACAATAGTTTAAGGACTAAATCAAAAATTTCTTTAATTTAAAGACCAAATCAAAAGTCCATATAATAGTTCAGGGACCAAAATAAAAATTTAACTAAAAAAAAAAGAGGAAAAAAAAAGGTCCGCTAGTTACTTTTCAGTATCGGTTTTCACTGAAATCGGCATTTGCCCACCCCTAAGGCCAAGTAGCAGCGTTAGCCACACTTAACGTTCATTTCCCTTTTCGGGCAACAGTTCTATTGGGCTCATGTTAAAAATGTTTTAAAAAAAAATAAAGAATAAATAAAAAGGAAAATTGGAATGCAGTATTGGGCTCACTCTTTTTATTATAATTGAAAGTAATATAAATTATTACAGCTTGCAATGGTCCTAGGATTGCCATCTCAAGGAAAACCATTTGGAAACCCATAATCATTACAAAAGAGAAACAACAAATTGCTCATTAACATTAA